ATAATTGGGCAGTAAAGCTCTACCAATACATTTCAGGGTTTTTTTTTTTTTTAAGGCTTAGACTGAAAACAATTATTTTGACATTAGCCGATCTCCAATCTGCGCTACTAATATCTTTGGTCCAAATTATTTAGGCCGATATTGCTATTTTCTCCTCCTTTTAAACAAAAAGAAAACAAATGAAAACAACAATAAAAACACAAGTCTCAATTTGCAATGCTAATATCGATTGTTTTCACCTCAGCCAATCCCTCATATGTGTTGCCAATATTTTTGGCTTGATTAATTTTGCCAATACTGCACTTTCTTCCTCCTTTTACACGATAAAGATGACAACAAAAATAAAAAACTTACACAAAGTCTTCATTTGCGATGCCATTACTAAGTACTTTGATATCAGCTGATCCCCGATATGTGCCTCCGATATATTTGGTCAGTTTTCTTTCGGCCGATTTTGCTTTTTTCTTCTTCCAATAATAACAGAAGTTACACAAGTCTAAACTTAAACAAAAAATACACCTTAAGTACTAATAATTAAAAAAAAAAAACATTATAAACTGGAAAGAAATGGAGGGAAGACTAAGTTTGATCTCAAGGCATTGCTGAATGCACCAAGGTATCAGCCAACACATGCACATATCCGCTGAAACCAGCGCCAGAAATAAAATGCTAATTTTGGCCAAAAATATGAAGCAACAAAAATATCGGTCTATCTCTTAATGGTATCAGTCCTTAAAACTGAATCTGTCAATCTGCATTAGCTTCTAACAGAAAAGGATAATAGCAAAAGTTTCTGTTATCATAACAGTGTAGTTGGTCTAGTTTTACTGAATGTCAGGACCTGTGGCAGGCCGCCTTCCATGTTTATACAACGTGAGTGTGAGTGTGTGCCCCACTTAATGTGACTCACAGACCTACACACTTGCAGGCTAAATTAGGCGCTGCCTTATATGGCTTCTTTTCCTCATTCCCCACTGCAACACTGGGAATATCCATCATCTGCAACTCTGGATAGTTTCTACGCTTCATCTTTGCCCCGCAGAAAGATACCGGAGGCATGTTTGAGTTTCTGTAGATTGCAGAAATGGATTTATGTTAACATAAAGAAGAAACTTTGATTGTGATGAAAGAAATTGAAGGTGGGTTAACCCCTACAGAAATATTTGGCTTTGGAAATGGAAAAAATGACTTTAGTTGGCTGGGAGGCTGGAAAATTTTTTTGATAGATTGGAAAATAAGGAAGAGAAATACATCAGTTTAATGCTTGTTTTTCTTTCTTTAAAAGAACATTAAAATTGATTAATTTAGCTGGTTTTCCTTAGAAAAACAAGGAGTTTTATTTGTTATACATTTGACTTGCAAATAAACATATTTAATATATTTTCTACATTTTCAGACCACATATCAAGTCAACAGTTCTTTTTTTGCTCTAGAATGAGATCATTCTGATCCCCGGCTGACTGAAAACACTACAAATATTAAAAATCTATTCGTAATAAGCTACAGAATTACAAAATAGACAAGAATAATAATCAGTTTTGATCATTTCTGTCAAATTAATTTTTCAGTGATTTTCACTTATTAGATTTTATAAGTGAAAATTACATATCATCTAAATTCACTCTATACGGAGGGCAAGGACTAGAAAAATTGAACCAAATGATGTAAGATTATTCTAATAAGTTTGTTTGACGAAATCTAACAATGAGAACATTTTTCAGTTTATTTTTGAATTTTTTATATTTCATATTTTTAATTTTTAATATATTTTTATATTAATAAATACAAAGAAATAATAAATAATTAATCTATTTGCTTTTTAGTGTTTTTAACTATATTTTTGTCTTTTGTTTTCAGTTTTCTTCCTTATTAGAAACAAAAAATTGATGTATTTAGATATTTGGACAAATGTATTTAATTGTTACCTATGTAAATATTTTTTTTCAAGCTTGTATCATGCTTTTGCTGTTGCTTCTGTATAATTTTAAATAAATTCAATAGAAATAGAAAATATAAGTCATTAGATTGTGAATACAATTATATCTATTTCACTCCAAATTCATGTAAAGATTTTTGGTATATCTGAAAACAATTATATTGTATTTTATTTTTTACTGCATTTTTATCTTGCAACCAAGAATTTTAACAATTATTTTTAGCCATTGGGCCTTATGCAACAATATTTTTGTATTCTTGTCGTAAATGTCATCTTCTGCTACCATGGCCTCTTATGAGTGCTCCACACCAGATTGATCAGATGTAAACCTGATGCAGTCATCCTGTGTGTGAGCGAGCGCACATTTCATAGAAATGTAAAGTAATTATCGCCCAGATAACGCCATATAAGGGTACAAATTCCCACGCCTCTATGAATGAACGAAATGGCATTAAAGACGAAGAAGAAAAAGTTTTAAGGATCTGCTGACTGGAAGCATGTTTCCGCTGTCCATAGCATTCCTTGACAGTGTTGTTGCTAAGTGCTACTTGGTCCCAATGTAATTTCCCATTGGGAACCTACTAGCACTAAGTTGCTAACTGGTTAGCAAGATGCTTCAGAGACACCGGTCACAATCAAACAGGCTTGCAAACCTTCCGCCACAACAATCCCAACCAATCACATTCACTTTATTCACTCGTGTAAAGTCGGACACCACTCAGGAGAATTCGGAAATGCAACGGCTGCAACAGCCGCTTCCCTACGATTTTAAGGAGAGGTTCATGCCACACTGTTTTCCACAGGGGTGGAATAATCAATGAAAAAGTTGACTGAAATGGCTGAACTGCTTTTTGGAAAGCGAAATTTAAATAATTTCAATGAATTCTTAATTTTTTAGCCTATTTTTAACCATAAGCATTGGTTCAGAAACTTCTAGATAAAGTCCACGATATTTGAAAACTTCTTCATCTGAAAAATCATAACAGCAGACAATTGTGGTCTATGAGCTGGAACATGTAAAGCTCGTCATTCTCATGCAAAATGCATTCAAGTTCACATGTAAATCAGTTGGAATCGCCTCGGTCCACACAGGAACATAGCTGCTCCAGATGTGTGACACATGTAGGACACACATAAAGTGGGGCTCTCTCAGTGCAAGACCTCATATGGTATGAAGTAGGCCAGACCCACGGTAAAACAAGACCAAACAGGGTTTGTGAAACACTAAGTGATACAGATGTCAGGTTTAAACACTTTTACATGCAAAGATATTTCTTAAAGCTTATTTAGGCTGACTTTTACACTTCTCTAATCGATGCTCTAGATTATTGCCCCAAGAATGCTAATTTATTATTTTTAGGATGACTTAAACCTCAATCATTCATGTGTCATCTGTATATGGAGCTGAATTGGACTCCCGGTGCAGAGAGTGGTTAAACTAGACCAGTGGGTCTGCCCCCTGAGTCCACAGCTTTCATCCAAATAGGCTAATTGCTCTTTAATAAAATGGGACACAAGCAACAGAGACAGCTTTGTGAGTGAAATCTCCACATTGTCAAAAGTGAGTTCAGAGTTTGTGTAACCCTCCTCCCTAGGGTGGCCAGATGTGCGGCTTTAGGCCGGACAATCCGGATTTTCACTGCACTGTCCGCACGCGAATTTGTCCTTTCTGAGGCACGAGGCTCGAAGAGCAGATTTATTTCCATTTATGATGGGCTGCAGCGCAATATCCAATCGTAGAATGTAAAAAAAAATAAAAAATGCATTGACTATCTGTTCTAACCAATGGCGGTTGGCCAATAGAGGACGCTAGGGCGCCGCCCCACACCCTATGACCCTGATTAAGACATAAAAAAATAATTATTAGTTTTCCTTATAATTTAATTTTAAATTAAAATGTAAATTATTTTGAAATATATCTATATATTTTTTTTTTTAGATGTGTAAGATAAATATTTACTCTTTAGTGACTAGTAAAGCATCATGCCTAGGGTACAAAAATCTTTACCCATGGACTCTCGTTAAAAATTATACATGCGCTGTAGCTCCTCTGCAATACAAAGGTATAGGAGAGCATACAGGAAGTGTATTTGCTCACCACCTCCCGCCACAGGGCAGGTGTTTTGCAGGTGATTGGCATGTTGAGTCGGTTGGAGATGCATCGGAGAGAGAAAGAGAGAAAGGGTGCAAGAAATGTTCTTTTGCAGGACCTATTCTGCTTTCCGTCTTCTTTTTCAATCGTCAGGATCTGACCCAGCATCGATAAAGACAGCTAGGACTGATTTTAAAGCACTTTTTACAAAAGGCAAAGAAGAATTAACAATCTGGGATTCACATTGAAAATAATATAATATATTGTACTTTTTCTAGATGTTAATTTGCATAGTTGCTCATAAATAAACACATTATCGAGACTCATTCCATGGCACACTTTGTTGATGCAATTTGGACATAAGCCGTCAAGAAAGCTGCAATTGAACAACATGCGAGTACAGATTAACATAAAAGTAATAAACATGCGGCAGGTAACTCTTCAAAGAGGGCCTATTGTCATTAAATATTTCCTTTTTAGCTACACAAGTATCCTCTTTAAACCCCTCAAATTTGTATTATAAATGAGAGTAAACCAGATTCTTATGTACACCGTAGAAATTTATTGATATACCGCATAATGTCTTCCTTTTTGGTGCCACAGAAATGGCCACCCTACCCCTCCCCCTAAAAATAAAAGATATTGACAAGGATGTAAACATAACTGATCTAAAATAAAAGGGGAATGAAATAGAGAAATTATAAATTGCAGCCACATTGTTTTACAGAGAAGAAGCTACTTGAGCATAATGTATGGAGTAAGAATACTCTCAATAATAACACTTGTAGGTGTCTGGATTTGATCATGTAAGACAATAAACATAAATAGATTTAGGATGTGTAAAAGTATGCAAATTATTAGTATGAATCACAAATGTACTAGTGCAAATCAAAAATATATATATATGAATCACAGAGCTACGAGGAGGAATCAAATCTATGAGTACGAATCTCAAAATTACTTGTACGAATTACAGATTTTCTCGTACAAACTTCTTGTATAGAGTCATAATATTACAAGTCTGGGTCATACATTCATAAGCACAAAGCACACATTTGGGAATCACTAATTTAGGAATACCAAGTTTACATTTATGAATGAGAAATGTACAATTCACAAATGTATGAGTACAAACCACAAAGTAGTATTAATCACAAATTTACAAATGCGAATCATATATTTACTAGTACGCATCACAAATTATGAGCACCAAGCACACATTTATGAATCACTTATTTGCCAGTACCAATTACAACTTTAAAAGCATGAAGCATACATTTTAGCACTAGGGGTCTTAAACCCCTGATGAAGCTGTTGCACTTATTACCAATTGTCTGCAATAAAGCACCAAAAAGTTGTTTGTTATTCAACATTAAACAATCGGAAGTGGAAGAAGATGAAAACAAAATGATATTATATCTTTGCTGAAATAGTTCTGTCCTCTTCTTTTTTCCTCTTCTTCTTATTTAAAGGTGGCTGGTTTAGAACTTTCAGGTGCATTACTGCCGCCAACTGGTAAGGAGTGTAATAGCTTCATCAGGGGTTGTAGTTTCATATCCATACATTTGTGATTTGTAAATGTATTTTTACAAAGTTGTTAACTTTATAAGTTGTATTCATGACTTTAAAACTTGTAATCTCACAAATAAAACCTCTGATGTCACATGAATGTTATTAGTCAACAACAGGGAACAAATGTGCATCTCAAATGTAGAAAATTAAGGAAAACATGTTTTATTGAAACTTAATGTTACTTCACAATCAATAGGTCATCATCAGCAATTGCTTGAGTCTGGTTAGAATCAGATTCTGGTTTTGGAGTTTTATTGTTCTGATGTATATTTTCACAGCAAAGATTTTAGGATTATCTGGGATGTGAGGAATTTTTTATGAATCTTCGACCCAAGAAAGGCTGGATGATTTAGAGATCAAAGCTCTCTACACAGGGTGTACTTTCTATTTAACCATGACTGTAGCTTCCTGTGAATGTTTTGCTCTCTGCTCCTTGTTCCCTGTTTCTGTTCTCCAAATCCTTTCCCCTTCGCCGCTGTAGCTCCACCACATTAATGTCCTTAACTCCTCACACTATTGTTGCTGATGGCACCATATCTGTCCTCAATACATTTTCACCAACCTAAGGCCACATATATATACTTTCTGTTGCCTCCTATCCCTTCATCTCTTTGTTCATCCTCATTTTTAAGTACATTAGTATCATCTGAGAACATGTCGAGTAATAAGTCCAAGAGAAGTTTTATTTACTGTACTTTATAATTCAACATAAGTAATTTTCTTATAAAAATAGGAGCAAAAGCAATTCTGAGGAGAGCCATTAAAATCCTAATTAAATAAATAAATAAAAAGGTTTTGTTTTACGTAGATTATTAATAAATATTCCAATAACTATATACATTTCACCATTAAATAAAACAAAGGGGATTTATTAAAATAAATGCTAAGCTATTTTTATTAATTTTCCTTTATTCATTTTTTTATTTAAGCTTGAATTATTTCATTGTATATTTCAAGACTATTATTTATTTGAATATATATTTATTCATGAAGATTTATCTATTTACCTTAAGATGTAACATTTTATTTATTTGATTGGTGATTTATTTTGATATTTATTGATTTTAGATATATTCTTTTGTAATTAAATGCATATAATTATTTCTAGATTTTTTATTTCAAAATATTTTTCTTTATGATTTTACTACAAATGAGTTTTTTCAGATTATGGGAAGGTTGTTTCTTCTCATTAAAAAACTCCCAAAACACAAACAGTTCAAACTAAAATCAACCCATAAATCAGTAGGTTAGAGAGCCATATGTAGCATCTGTAACTCTGTATTGCTTTTGTTTATTATTCATTGTGGGATTTTAGTTTTCTCTCTGCTCCAGAGCTGCTGAGTCAATCTGGTTCTATTATATTATTGAATATATATTAGATTTGGGTGTGAGCTTTGACTAGGCCGATGTGTTGGACCTGGTTTACGTCCCATCTCTACCGTTAGACAGATTTAAACCTGTCTATCACGCATATCTGAAATAAAAACTAATAATAAACTACATCACTGTGATTAAAATGGTGTTGAAATGCAGCAAACGATGAGAGAAATTGTTCTTTGTTCTTTTTTCTCTTACAGAAGGAGTAAAGGATTTGGTTTTTCATCAAATTAAAATAGTTTTGAAGAGATTGTTTGGCTATTGTGGAACTTCTAACTCTTAGACTATTAAAAAAAAAAAAAAATCTCTATTTTTATTTCACTTCCCAGGGAGCAAAGCGTCCAGGGGATCAACCGTGGATCTTTCCAGGACCTCGTCACATGGGAGTGCGCGTCCGCACGCGTGAGGGTGTGTTCAGGGCTCCCTACGTCCCTGAGCCAACATGGCGGCCGGACGAGAGCGTGTTTCACGAACACAGAGGCCATGGTCGGTGTACCGGGCCAACACCTTCGAGCTTTCCAGCGAGATGATTGGCCTGGCACTCGCAGGTGAGGACTCAGGTTTTATCTACGCCTTCTGTGGATCAGTGGCAGAAGTCATCCATCCATTTTCTACCATGTTTATCCCTGCTGGGGTCGCGAGGAATGCTGGTACTTATCTCCAGCTATCTACAGGCGCTAGGCGGGGTACACCCTGGACTGGTCACCAATCCATCTCAGGACCACGCATAAGTGGTCAGAAGTAATTTAATCATTGTGAGAATAAAGTGAGGCTGAAAAGAATCAAGTGCATTTAAAAAGCTGCAGTTTTAAGAAGAATACCTTGATTCAATGAAGAAAAGGGAACTAAAATGATTCAATGCAAAATAATAAAATCGTTGATTAAACTACTTTAGATTTACTAATATCATAAATATTGAGTTAATCCAAATTTTTTGAAAAAACTTGTTCATTTTTATTATGAATTTAAAGAAAAGAAAATCAAATACTTCAAACAACTACAAAATACTTACATTATACTCAGTATTCCTCTATATGAAATTAATTTAGAATAACTGTCTCGAGCAAATACAATTTTCTAAAGTATCTGAGTTACATTGACTCATAAAATTTTATGTATTTTCTTATATTTATTGTACTTTTACTTTAACTTCAGTAATATTCTTAGCTTTTTTTTTACAGAGAGCCATTTGATTCAAATTAAAGTAGTGATGTAAATAGAATATTAAATGATATTTCATTAAATAAATACATTTCCACATTAAATAAAACAAGTTACATCTTTAAAAGTAAAAAAAACATTTAAATAAGAATGATCTGGATTCTTTAATAATAATAAGTTATATAAATTAATTAGTGTGATCAATCAAGTGGTTAACCAGTTTGGTTTCATTATCTGTACTTTTTATTAGAGTTAAGTTGTTCATATAAAGTTATTTAAGTTATGTTCACCTCATTTGCAAATAGTAGGAGTACATTCTATGTTAGACCAACTCAAGACAGTTAAGAGACGATTTCACCGAATAATGAGCTTAATTACTGTCAAATAAACATTTATTTGGCTAAATGAATAGCAACCAACTTCCGCTGTGACAGATTTCAATGTATGTAAAGGAAGTGCATGTCAATTAAATTGAACATTGTTTACCTTACATTTAACAGCATCTATTTAATGTGACCTTGCATCGTTGAAAAAAAACAACATAAAAATCAAAATTAAATGATTAAATGGTAATTCGAAATGAGAATAAATAAAGAGTATTTTTTAGGGTGTCCTCAGTCTGGCAATGTTATTTTTGGGGTTACAGGCTGAAAAGTTTTGGAACAAATAAACAGCTGGAAACAACAGATCAGGAAACGTGTGCACGCTTTAATGAAATTCAGTAAATGTAGCTTTGGTGTTTAATAGAGGTGTACAGATTTATCAGCCTTGATTTTCTTAATTTGTAGAGATCGGTGAACGGTCAATACTTAGCTGTGAAACTGATCTTTTCCACAAATCTAATCTACCCCTGTAAAGGTTTTAGTACCACCCACTATCAATGCCTCAAACTGTATTTATATTTGGGAGCAGTTATTTTAGATCTTTTTATTGTTTCATGGTCAATGATGAATGATTTTTCAGTAACATAAGATTGAAATATTTTTTGTCTTGGGATCTCATAACAACTGAAGGGGTCAGTTATGAAAAAAAATCTATATTGGTCAAAATCTGAATCTGCATGTAAGGCTTTCTAAAGATCACCATAGTGTTTTGGGGTTTTATATCCTTAGCATGAGTAAAAAAAAGTGCTGTATAAGTTCAGTCTAGCTTAACAAAAATCCGATCTTTGGCTCTCCAGGAAATAGTCAGGACCCAGACGAGCCGGTTTTGGAGTTCAGTATCTGTGAGTATTACAATATATCTTTCATTAACTACCTGAATACCTTTAAGTTTGTGCCGCAGTGATTTCAGACAGGTTGATGGTTTATTCTCAGCCTGCACAGAGCTGGCCACTCCCTCCATGGAGCGCAAACCCAACAGTTTTGTGGCAGTGAGCTGCACAACCCCACCACAGGCATTCTGGACCAAACACGCCCAGACTGAAGTCATAGAGGTCAGTGCCTTTCAACGAAACCGATTATCAGTCAAAATGGGCGAAAAAAATGTATGAAGGAAGAGTTCTTTGTTATTTCAATTCAATCGGACATACAATAAGAGATGTGGCATGCAAAAATACTCCCCATAATCGGAGCTTTTTATTATTCATCACTCAAATGTCTTTTCCCTTCGAATTTAACGATGTTATAAAGAAACATCTATCCATTTATTCTTTGAGTTATTAACATTTCTACGACAGAAAAGTTTTCTAAAATAACAATGAACATTCATTGTGTCTATTCTAAGTAAAGCTCTGACTCTTTTTAAATAAATTTTAAATGATTTAAATGATTTGTGGCCTAGTTTAAAATATGTGATCTAAACTTTAAAAAGTGTGAGAGAGAAAAAGTAGGGAGGACTCAAAGGACGGATGGACACCTTGTTTTAGTTACCGTAGTTACCAGAACACCACCCAATTAAGAACGCCATTCAGCGGTGTGAATCACTGCATCTACGCCTCTCAAAATCCTGTTTCAGCATGACAGCTGGTTCTTTTCTTTTAAGTTTCTTTTAGATGGTAGGAGGTAAATGAGTTGTTGGACTTTTGGAGGGTTTTCCGGTATGGATTAATAGCCAGAAATGTCCTAGTCAAACGGGAAGAAACCAAGAAATTTGCAGAAATCGTAATTCTGAGTTAGCATTAAGCTAAGCTAAGAACAAGTAAAAAGCAAATTTTTAAGGTGTTTTAAGATTGATTGATTGCGTTTCTATTATTTATGATAATAGTAGTTTTTTTTAGAGTGCTAAATCAATCAAAAACTGCTTTGTCTTCCCTCAGGGCACCAGTAACCCCACGTTCCTCAGCAGCATCGCCTTCTTCCAGGACTGCAACATAAACCAGCAGACGCAGGTCAAGCTAGCCGTGTACGATGTAAAGGACCGCTCGCAGGGAACGGTATGAATCTACGATCATCTACCTTATTAAAGAAAATCAAGTGTGATTCTGAGCTGTTGTCACTCTCCATATATTCAGATGTACATGTTGGGTTCTGCACTGTTTGCGGTGAAGGAAATACTGCAGGAGAAAGGCCACAGATTGGAGCTAGAGCTGAGGTAACACATCCACACAATCAGGATTAAATGTTTTAAAGGAAACATAACTTTGTTTTTTATTGTAAAATAAGAGAAACTGAGGTGCTCAAAAAAATGTAGGGAACGCTAATATAACTCATCTTATATCTGAATGAGTTAAATATTCTCATTGAATACTCTGTTCTGTTCAAAGTTAAGTTATTAACCAATGGATGCCTGGATTTAAGTGGAAAAATACACAACAGGCTGATCCTACTTTAATGCAATGTCCTTAAAACGGGTCAAAATGAGGCTCAGTATTGTGTGTGTGACCTCCACGTTCCTGTATGACCTCTCTACAATGCCAGGGCATGCTCCTGATGAGGTTGAAGATGGTCTCCTGAGTTATCTCCTCCCAGACCTGGAATAAAGCAACCGCACCAGGGTCTCACAAGGGGTTTAAGGATCTCGCCTTGGTAATAAATGGCAGTAATGAAACCTCTGGTGAGCAAATGGAGAGCTGTGCGGCCCTCCAAAGAAATGCCACCCCGCACCATTACTGACCCTGAGTCAAACCAGTCATGATGAAGGATGTTGCAGGCAGCAGATCGCCCTCCACAATGTCTCCAGTCTCTTGTAACATCTGTCAAATGTTCTCAGTGTGAACCTGCTTTTATCTGTGAAGAGCACAGGGTACCAGTTGTGAATATACCAATCGTGGTGTTCTCTGGCAAATGCCAAGCATCCTGCACGATGTTGGGCTGTGAGCACAAACCTCATCTGTGAACGTCAGGCCCTCGTGCCATCCTCATGGAGCCTGTCATTAACAGTTTGTGAATGCACATTTGTGGCCTGCTGGAGGTCATTTTGCAGGACTCTGGCAGTACTCGCCCTGTTCCTCCCTGCGCAAAGACGGAGGTAGCAGTCCTGCTTCTGGGTGGTTGCCCTCCTACGGCCTCTTTAATGTCCCCTGGTGTACTGGCCTGTCAGACACAGCAAATCTTCTTGCCACAGCTAGATGTGCCATCCTGGATTAGCTGCACTACCTACTCCACTTTTGTGGGTTCTTTACGAGTTTGAAAGCACCACCAACATTTAAAAGTGACCAAAACATCAGCCAGAAAGCATGGATACTGAAAAGTGGTCTGTGGTCCCCTCCTCTTGCTAATTGCCAATCATTTCCACCTGTTGTCTTTTCTATTTGCCCAACAGCATGTGAAATTGATTGTTAATCAGTATCATTACCTAAGTGGACAGTTTGATTTCACAAAATTTGACTTAGTTGAAGTTATATTGTCTCATTTATGTTTTCCCTTCACTTTTGAGCAGTGTAAAATAAAACTATATCCAGCTTTAATCCTGTCTTATGTTTCGATTGGACAGATCGGCGGAGAAAGAACGGGTTGGGAAGCTTACGGTGACTGCTTGGCAGATGGATGAGAAAGCAGATCATAGGATGTCTGTTAGAAGTCTGCCAGAAAGCATCAATGGCCGAGTATGAACTATTAAATGTTTTCTTTTGTTGTTGCTTCTGATCCTTTCGCACCGTATTAAGACCGCTCTTTGATCCCATTAGAAATATGACTGGATTGGAAAACTTTGTTCAGTAGGACTGCAGTCATAAAACCACTAACTGAATCAATTCTTCTGTTGGTTTCATGTGTGCATTGGTGCGTTTCAATGGCCCTTATTATAGTCAGAATTTCCTTATGCACATTATACATACAAAGGTTTCTGCACCTCCATCAGTTTTAGCAATCCAGTGATGGAAGAACATTATTAATAACATAATTAATTTTTTTATCATTTTTCATCAGCATTATGGAGTGAATTTCGTTCTACTATTGTTAAAAGAAGAAAATCATATTTTGGAAATGAAGGTTTAAAAATATATAATACATTGCAGTTAGTTTTACATTTTGTTACTTTAGTTTTTGCGTTTTATAGATCACATCTTTTATTTCCTAATTCAACTTCCTGTTGTATTTACATTCCATATAACAGGGAAGTTATCCAATTTCTTGGACATTTTAGATCATAAAAAGTAATCACTGTTGTCATTCACAGCCATCTTAGGTTTAATCTTGGTCTTCAGGACAAAAACTATTACGATATGTGATAGTTTTAGTTGGTTTTAGTCAACTTAAACTTATAAAGGTTTTAGTCCAGTTTTAGTCGGTTTTGTGTTGCAAAAAAAATGTATTTAATTACAGTTTCGAATAACAACCAAGATTTTTTACTAGACTGACAGCTCTAGTGTAGATACTGCAATTGCTGGGTATAGAATGCTGCCGTGCAGTTCATCATTGCTGTTGGGCAGAAAACTTTGATTTCTAGAATTCCAAAAAAAAGTTTTTTTTATGAATTAATGCTCTACTTTATAAAAAAAAAAGTGTCTCACAAAAGTAGTGAAAATAGCAGATCTAGTTCAACACATCATATTGTTTAATATAGCAGACAGACAAGCTGACAAAATGTACAATCAAGGAATGGTTTTTGACATACAAGGTTTCCATCCCAAATTATGCAATACACACAGATCAATAAAATCTTCATTGCTCCAAAAAGCAAAGAACAAAAAAATTCTTCCTTCTACTTTTGCAATTTTGGCTTTATTTATAGGAATTCACCCTTTATTTACCGCTGCTCAGGGGTCAAAGAAGATTTAAATTCACAGGGTTTTGATAAAAAAAAAAAATACAAAGAGAACCTAGATAATTGCCTTGAAATGCCATGACAATCCAGACCTAAATTGAATGAAGATGCTAGCTAAAATGTTGACATATTTAAAGGAAACATAGAAATTTTTTTAATGACAATACAAGGAAACATTTACATCATATTTAAGTAGAAACGAGAACAATGAGATAAAAATATGCAAAGATCTATGAACCTTTTTAATCAGGCTCTTTTTCCAAAAATAAACAGAATTCAGTGAAATATTTTATTTGGATCTAATTTAGGGATTCCTTTTGGTAGAAATTAAAGAATGTTTAGCATCACCTCTTGTGAGCTGGAAGAAATTAAATCTTGATAGTTAGAGAAAGGGATTTTTAAGCGCTTGGCAGAGGATGATCAGCCACATAGTTTATTAAGTAGTGAGAGCAGAAAGAGTCAGACTGCTGAGTGCGAACCATCAGTGCACAAAGACATTTTTGCACAACCACAGATCAGAATTTGTTGGTGTTGAGCGTGTAGTACCGGACCAATCCGGGTTATTTTCTCAGACTGCTGCTGCCATGATCCATCTGTGCTCCTGCAGCATGAGAAACACTGTGAAGCAGGTGGTCGCCAGGACGCAGCTATGCGGCTGATATTTCTTTGCCGATTACATCTGACCCACCATCCACTAATTTTTATTTAGCTCGTCGACTAAAACTCAAACCTATGACTAGTCATGTTTTAGTCATCAAAGATCCATGTTTTAGCTCTTCAGTTTTCGTTATCGTCACGAAAAAAGGATCCTTGACAAAAACAACACTTATGGAGAGCGACTGTTTTAAGTGAAGTGAAGCATGTTTTGATCCTGATGCTAACCGCTAAGAGCCTAAGCTAGAACCTGGATCTTTGTAGCATAGGTCTCCATCTGGGTTAGTATCTCCTAGCAGCAGTTTCTTCCGCCAAATCTTCCCTTCCTTGTTTTGTCCTCCTCCTCTTCATCACCTCTTATTATTTCTACATTATTATTCATTTCAAAGAGTTCCGCTCCAAACTAAAAAGGTTAAATGTGGCGGAGCAAGCACTACAAGACCTAGCCTACGTCATTTACCCGGAATGTAACAACTTGCTGACGTCTGTGTGACGATATATTATAAAGATCTATAAAAATTAAACATCCTACAGTCGTTTATAAACTAGATTGTTTATTTAAAAAAATGCAGATTTTCCAGATAAAGTCTATTCTTACAATAATCACCAATGCTGGTCTTGACCATTTGTTCAGAAGTTGCATATCTTAGTTTGTTAGCTTCTACACAAAGTGAACAGAAATAAACAACTTTTTACATCCCTTAAACCAGAAACTAGAGGCAGTTAACAACCATTCCCCCGCTCTTCTCAAATTTTTTTTTATTTTTACCATCATAACAGACTTTCTTCAACCTTTCTTCGTCCATGCTGCATTTTCTCTGAAATTAGAACTTCAGCTTTACCTTGACTACATGCTCTAATTGTGCAGTACCCATAAGATTAGCGAAAACTTTTAGGATTTCACTGTGGGTTTGTTTTCCCTGCAGACGGTGCTGCCGGTCGATGAGAGCCTGACCGAGTCGATGGGAGTCCGGATCAAATACGCCTCGTTGGGCAAAGATAGCCTGCTGCGCTCAGGTGAGAATCCGCCTGCTTCACAAAGTAAAAGAGTAGGGGGGGAGAAAAGAAGTAGGTCAGAAAGACAGAGTAGCAGCAGGAAACAAGGTAAATGAGTCAAAGAAAGCTTCTAGGTGAGCAGATAAAAGCTTCTCAGTGCTTCAATCAAAAGCTCCTGTGATGTGAATGTCAAACAGTGTTTGGAGGCACCATGTCCAGGATGTACCGCTTCCCAACAACCGACGGGAAGCATCTCCGGGTCCTGGAGCAGATGGCAGAGAGCGTCCTGTCCCTCAACATTCCCCGGCAGTTTGTTAAGCTGCTTCTGGAGGAGGACACTGCCAGGTACAAAACATACATCTGTGAAGTCAGCACTTAGTAAAACATGATGTAATCAGTTGTTTGTTGTTGGTTTTTTTGTTTTTTGTTTTTGTTTGATGATGATGCAGCATCTTCTGGTTTTGCTTATTGTAAAATGTTTCTTTTTTTTTCTGTTTTGAATATCTGTTTTAGGGTGTGTGAGCTGGAGGAGCTGGGAGAGTTGTCCCCCTGCTGGGAGAGTCTGCGGCGACAGATCGTGTCCCAGTACCAGTCCATAATACTGGCATATCAGGAGACATTATCTGACCTCAATGGATACAGAGGTTGGTGTCTGCACAGCTCCCTAAACCTTGGTAAAAAAAAATGAAAACATGGAGCTGTGAGTGAGCCCTGTCTTTTGACCGTTTCCCTCATCAGGTCCATCATTCAAAGCTAGCAACCTGAAGGCAGACAGGAAGCTGGAATTCATGCCGACCAACCTCCATGTGCAGCGGATGAGGGTGCAGGATGAGCTGGGCTTCGGTAAAACATCAGATTCAAACAGTAGTGCGCGCGCTGTTCGTCCCTCTGCTAACGTCTGTTTCTCTCCACAGAGCACACCTATGATGTGATAACGATCGGCGCCCCGGCCGCTCACTGTCAGGGCTTTAAAAGCGGCGGCCTCAGGAAGCTCATCCAAAAGTTCGAGGAGGCGAAGAAACAGTGAGTCTCAAAATGGAAAAAAAAAAGTTCAGAAAATGTCACTTTCTTCCTTTTTTCCTTTTTGCTTTTGCTTTAGCTTCATTCATATTTAAGTTCTTATTTCAAACACTTGGAAGAATCAAATCATCACCTGCTTTGATTTGACTTTAATTAATTTACTGTTTCTTTGTAAAATACAATGGCTTTTCTTCCTTATTTGTTTCTGTTACTTTTTTTTTATCAGCGTTTATGAGGATGGATGGTGAGTTGTTGCATTGATTCAGCTTATTTTCATTTCACAGTTTGTATCTCACCGCTAAGATGGAAAATTCCAGGTTATAGCTTGTTAAATCATTTAAAACCATTTGTCTTAAAAATATTTAAATGTTCAAACAATAAATTTATATTCTCTTTTAGCCATAGAGACCCTTTCCCTAAAATCTATAGTTTAGTCCGCTACCTATATACTTTATTTTGTTTTTTGTTTTTAGCTATGGAGCAGTAATAGGCAAAAAAAATTGTAGTTTATTATTAGAAAGTGATTTAAATAACATATCTAAGCAAATAAAAATGTGAAACATGGTTTAAAAATTAATCTAAAGTTTGATGGATCCTCTTTTTCACATGAAATAATCTGTTTTACAAATATAAAGGTCCATATTCAAGTTATAAGCCCACACAACAAAAAATCAAGATTAAAAAGGTGGTTATACATAGCGAACATCCGTCCTGGTCTTAACATCCACTTTATTTTGAAGTAATGATTTCCAGCACTGGGTGTGATGAGCTGACATACAGTAAAAAAAAATATTGAGCCTATGAGTGTCATTTCAAATCAAAAGTATTTTTGCATTGATTCATTACAATCACAATTATTGTAATTATTTTTGGGTCCAGTCTGGGTGGGGGGAGGGTGTGGTTTTTGAATGTGTATAAAGTTTGAAAAACGGAAAGTCTTTTGTAACCATGAAGATGATCTATTGTTTTACCTCTGACTTTTCAATAAAAAGATTTGGGAAAAAACAAAAAAACAAGTATTTTTACATTGCAACTGTGAATTTGAAGTTTTAGTGACAAATAAAATAGATGTTTTCTTAGTAGTATATCTTTTTCTAACTTTTACAATAACATAAAGAAGTTATACCTCTTTGCTGTGTGCTTCACCCATAAAAAAATCTCTTGCACTCTCAGTTTTGCTCCAGTTGATTAAAAACTAATTTGTTCTTTGTTTCCTACGATGATAGAACAAAATTTCCTTTTACACCATGTGAACCAGAGCCAGATATGTGTATGCTAATGGTTAGTGCAGAGGAAAATCGAAAATAAAATTGTAATCTCAATTGAAATTAAAAAAAAGAAATTCCCACTTTAAATTTTTGGCTAAATCCTACAGCCCTGAATCAGAATGCTGAGGACTGATGGAAGTCAGTTAATGTATCAGGCTATAACCTACAATTTCCAAATAACACTGCCTTTATCACCGCATAAACTACCACTGCTTCATTGAGTTTTCACCAAAGCCAAATATCACGTAAAATATTATCTCTTAATATGTATTTGTAAAGTTAAAGTTAGAGGTTGGCTGTTTTCTTTTGTTTTCCAAAGACTGAGAAAGCCCGTTTCTAAAGTTCAAAAGCTATCGCCTGATGTTATACATGTTGTCAAAAACACCGTCTCCAGCAGGCATGTGCATGCAAAATCTGTATAACTCTTTAGCCATCTTATGCAAAGTAAAATTCGAGAGGCAAGTGAAATCTCGACATCTTTTGGAAACAGATCTTCTCTAAACCAGCTGCTCTTCCTCTATATATGTAGAACAGAATGTCATCAGCATATGGGTTGATCATTATCCTTTATCCCAACAGCAGCGCTCTCTCCAGCTCACAGTCCATCGTCTATATACCCCAGGACATAGTCCGAGCCAAAGAGATCATTGCTCACATCAATACGCTCAAGACTCAGGTCAACTACTACGCTGAGAGGCTTTCCCGAGCCGCCAAAGACCGATCAGCCAGCGGGCTGGAGAGGACGCTGGCTATTTTGTCCGATAAGGTACCTTAGCAGTAAGGTAAATCATTTTCTTATTTTGGATTCATTTTTTCTGATATTTCATCATCACTGCGGTCAGACTCGTCAGCTGGTGACGGTTTGCGACTGCAAACTGCTAGCTTCGGCCATCCAGGCTTTGAATGCGGCTCGGCCCGAGTACATCGCCTCCAAAGCGTCCCCTACGGCCGAACCAGAACAAGTGGTCCTCCGCAACGACCAGGACACCCTGCTCGCCAAGTGGAGCGGTCGCAACAGTCGATCTTCACTGCATGTGGACTGGCATGAAGAGGAATGGGTGGGTTTTTTAACAAAATCGTCATTAAATTCCTCCTCTCACTATCAGTTATTTAATTTTTTTTCCCCGAATTACAAATCGCTTTTACCACATCCAGGTGGTTCAATTGATAATCTTTTGTCGTCTACTCAGGAGAAGGTTTGGGTAAATGTGGACAAATCTCTGGAGTGCATCATCCAGCGTGTGGATAAGCTGTTACAGAAAGAGAGGAGACCCAGCAGCAGTAGCCTGGACAGTACCCAGAATGACCTGCAGGGCGGCAGCGGCAAGAAAGGTGACACGCTTTTTTTGTGCTTCTTCACCATTTATTCTTTAAGGAAATTGAAGCTGAACTTATCCAATTTCACCATCATGTTTTATTAAAAAAAACTTCCTTACTTGTTACATTTAGTGGATTTGTTGGTGTAAATGAACTTTGTTTGTGAAAAGGGGAGGAAAAAAGACGAGCTTTCTGGATCAACCCGGGAAGTTTGTCACAGGAATCATTGCCATCTGAACCAACTCCATCGTCCTCATCACCTCCACCATACTCTTCCTCTTCGCCTGCCCTGTCCTCATCTGTACGGCCCCCCAGCCCCGAACAGGAATACTGTATGTTTTGGTTTCTTACTGTTTGTTCTTCTATCACCGCGTTCAGGTTCCAGTCTGAAGTTTATATCCACTCATCATCAGAATGCGTTTCTGGGCTTCAGATTGTATTTTTAAAACCCCTTTTACCACGTTAGGTTTTTAAAAACAAGAGTTTTCCAAGTGATGTGGATTGTTTCTAATCCATCGAAGCTAAAAACTGCATCCACAAATAAGCGAGTTAGAGATCAAACTTTTATCTTAGTTCCGGTTGGCTGTTTGTCAGAATTGCTAGATCTTCTAAAAATGTTGGTTGTATTCCAACACAGACCTTGCGTTTAAGCATTGTCGAACTTTAACAGGGTTGAAATCAGAGCTTTAAAGGAGGCGGATTTAGAAGCTAACTGAAACGTTAGCCTGATTTATCTGCTTTGCGTTGGTTATCATTGTCTTGTTTTATACTTTAATGTACTTTGTGAAACAGTTAGAGTTTCAGGTTACAAAAGGAATGAAGAGGAAGATGATGGTGATGGCAGAAAGGGTGAGACTCTTCTATCCACCTGAAAGCTGCACAAACCAATGTGGTCAAATTGATTCAAAGTTTTTATCTAAGGAAAACCAGTTGATTGCATCCACTCATTGACTCGAAGGAAATCCCTGACACCAAGCAATGCTTGTAGCGAAAGTGGAGAGGAAAATCTCCCTTTTAATGGGAAAAAACCTCCAGCAGAACCAGACTCCATGTGGTTTTCAAACGTGGAGAATCGCATACTCATGCGCACATATCTACTCCCCACAAGGATTTTAAATGGTTTATGTGTGTAGATACAATACATCCAATACATCACAGCCATGAGTTCATGATCTTTCCCTTCTGTGCTCCTTCATCACAACCAGATCCAGTCCTCTGATGCATATGGATGGAAAGGTTCAGATTAGTGAAGTTTAGCGACTACTTGCTTCATTCTTTATGTTCGTCCACTATTATAATCGCAGTGTCACTTTTCACATGATTGGCATCGACTGATTGCGCTTTAACCAAGGAAATGCATCTGAGCCACTCTCTCTATTTACATTGTTCGGGTTTAGTGTGACGGCTCCATATGGACTGTAACAGTTTTTACTTAAAAAAGACATGAATATTCACAGATTTTTTTTTGTATGCTACAGTTCTCTTAAATGTTTTAATTTTGATCAATATGTGAAACCATCTTGGCTGTTTGTTTGTTTTTACGTTATTGGAACGCCATACGTTGTCCAAGTTTCCATCGTCTCGTTGCTTATTTTACATAAACCATTTGGATTCAGTCCTTTTTCTATCCATCCGCCTTGTACTGAAACAACCCACAACATAATACTGCTAACACCAAGCTTTATGCTTGACAATGTGGAGCGGCTGCAGATTTTAGCCAATCTTGAAAGATTTGAATTTTGTGTTGGTTCATGTCTGGAATTGGCTTCAGTGACAGAGAATTTGGTATTCCAGAGTACAGCAGGGGGGAGCTTAGATGTAAAAATAGACCCTTTGTGGAAGACAGACGATTTTGAGCTGAATTAGAAATCTAAAATAAAAATAAAAAGTTTATTAAAAAACATTCAAAATGTAAATGACATGATTGTGTATAAACCTCAGACTGAAACTAAACTTCTGTGGTCTCTCCGTCTGCATTATGTTCTTTGATATGATGGAGCTAACGTGATTCCTCATTTTCAGCCTCTTGTCTGTTATCTTTGTCCACAGTGATTCAGTCGGTACTTTAAATGTTGCTCTGGACCACGGTCAAACATCTGCTCCATCTATTCCTTTAAACAATACTAAAGCAGACATATCTGTTTTGGAGTCTTTGCCTGAAAGATCTAACCCTCTTAAAATAAAAGCCTTATGCTGGTTTTTCTTTGTTAGATCTTTGACCCTGGTCTGCAGTGTTCTCTATGTGGCTTACAGTGTCTGCTAATCATGCATGTTGCACCTTCACCCCTTCTTCCAGATGGAAGCCCGAGTGCAGAGGAGGCATACCCAGGTAAGAGCTGCTGCTTTCAGCATCATGTTTTTCAGAGAAATGACATCTCTCTGTGTTCAGCTGCAAGAATGAGGCTGCAGAACCTCTGAAAGCTTCAACCAGCTCATTTTATCTTCACTGTGAAGTTTTAATCAGTCTGGCTGGAAATCTGGAACCCATTTTAGGTTTCTTACAGAGATCCCAATGTTTTTGATTAAAAGGAAATGATTCTCACACGTTTTAGTGTAGTTTAGCCTAAATCCCCCCATCTTACTTAATGTCCATAATTTATTTTTCCCCATATATTATCACGTTTCAAACTAAAACCTGTGTAGGGTGTTTGAAAGTTTCAGAAAAGGTTCATTTGAACTTTATCGGACTTAATCAGAATAAATTAGGTAAAATTATTTGGTAAAAACCTTTAAATTCCATTCCCTGTAATTGAAATCATTAATGTCTACTGATTACAAGACTGAGCTTTGGGTTTCAAGCTCTTTAACTAAATATTTCCTTCTGAAATAAATCCTGTTCTTCCAGCTACAAAGCTTTTCTTGTTTCTATGTTCCTAACTGTAAGAACCAGGGTTAAAATCTCATATAAATCATTTTTGTAAATAACCAACACAGATGTATAAGCAGTTGAATCCAAAAGGGGAAAAAAAACAACAAAACGCTGCAAAAGTCGCACTTAATGTTTGACCAGTTGGCTCCAAAACTATGGAGCTCAATATTTTTTTTGAACTTTTTATTTTCAATAACAATTTTTATATCAACACATACATATGTCCACTCTTGTCACATCTCACAATTCACATCTTAATATCTGTTTTTATAGATCATTTTAGACCTTTCACTTACATCAGGCATACAGGCTGTCTATTCCAGCTCCGTTAACAGTGATCCAGGGGCTATTGATGGAAAAAAATAACAAAAAGAACCTCCAAAAATGACAAATAAAGATGCTTTTCTTTCAGATAGACATTAGCCCGATTAAGAGAAACCCATATTCATTAACAACATCCATGGATTTATAAGTCACAATGATTACAGTGAAATGTACAACAGTAGGCACACTGGGAAAACAGATTAAAGTAATAAAAGCACATGATACAAGATAAAGTCACCAAAGAGGCGTCAAGGACCCAATATGAATTTAGCTATGGAGCTCAATATTAATAAGCTTACTTATACACAGGTTTAAACATTTGCAAGGCTAGATTCACAGAAATATCTGTGATGCATACACAGTTATATCTCAATTTACAAACTACCAGTTGTAAATTTCACTGCAAGGAGCAAAGGCGCATTTCTCTGCAACATTTCTATTGGTCAAGATTACATTTTTTGTTGGGCTTTAAGTGGAGAAAATGCGATCTGTAAAACTCCATCTGGCAAACAAAAATAAAGTTTTGGAAAATATAAAACCTGCAAGACTCTTAGAAAAATAAAATATGAAAAATGCATTTGAAAAAAAAAAATACCTATGTTAACTGCAAAGTTTCTTTAAAGATTTTTTCAACGGTATTATTTTTGGGTTAAATTTATTTTATTTTACTTTTTTTCAAATTTTGATTTACAAAAAGTCTTCTCTGCTTGCAACAATTGAATGGAACAAAATTAACTAAATAGCGTTGCAGGATCAGAACAAGCTTTATAAATGGACATTTGAAAAAAAAAAAAAGCTAAACATTGTTTGTAAATGTTTTTTTCCATAAGGGAAACATCTTTTCTTTCCTATAATCTATCTTCCTTTTGCTCTGCATCGTGCTAACACTTCTAGCAGAGTATCAAATGTTAGCTCTCGTTTAATACAGAGGCTATTGGAGATATAGTTTTTAACAGATCTGGGCGCGTTATTGTTGCACAAACTTCAGAGGAACGCTTTGGGCAGCATGAGATTAACCCTTTAAGAATGAACAGAGAAAATCTGTAAGATGCAAACACTGATTATTAATACTGCGTTTATTTTGGTTTTGAAGGAAAAGTCAAAAACAATGTAGCTGGCTCTGTCAGCAGCCCTTCTGCTTGTCCTCTGTCCCACCTGCTGCCTGTTTCTCCCCATTTAAGTCTTTTAATATTCAGCTACATGCAGCTTGGCTTCATGCTCACGTCTGCTTTCCGTCTGTTCCCAGGCGAGTGGAGCGAGGCGCTCTACCCGCTCCTCACCACGCTCACCGAGTGCGTCACCATGATGAGCGACAAGGCCAAGAAGTCCATGGTGTTTCTGCTCATGCAGGACAGCGCCCCCACCATATCCATGGACGTCTCCCTGCAGTACCGCCGGGACGTCGTCTTCTGCCAGGCGGTCAGCAGGCAAAACATGATCTCGCCTCCACACACGCATATTATCATCTTTCCATATGCAGTTGGGACCGTGTGTTTACTCCCATTGATTTCCAATACCTTTCCATCCTCTAACCCTGACAATACTCATAAATCTAACCATTATATTCACGCACGTAAACCTTAACTAAATTCACACCTTATCTGAAATCTGAAAAATGGTCCTCACTCTGATGCCAAACCAGGAGGACACACACCTTCAGATCAATCTGCTCGTCTCTGGTGATTCATAACCAGGCTTATAAATATTCCATAGAGGTGAAAAAGGTCAACTCACTGTGGCGTCTAAACTTCAGATGAGTAATAAGATCACAGATTGAATATCACACAACTACAGAGCTTCCAACGTTTCATTTTTAAGGCCTTCCTTCATATTTTCAATTTATGTTTAAAAAGAGTAGAAAACAATCACTCTCAGTCTTGAAGGCAGTACAACGTTCTAAGACAAACTGAGCTCTGCCATTTAACCACATACAGTTTAATTATATCTCTTTATTAAGATCTGAGGGCAGGAGAGGACAAACGGAAAAATCTTTCAAAAGTAACTTTCCTGGTGAGTTTAGATAAAGAAAACACCATTTCTTCTATTGGTAAAATGGACAGTTGTTGTTGACACAAAGTTGAAAGTCATGTAGCTTAATTTGGCTAACTGACCCTTCTAAAAGTGGCTAATCTGTTAGCTACTGAGATCTTAGGGCAGGAGAAGCCTAATGGAAAAAACTTTCAAAAATGACTTTCCTGGAGATTTTAGACAAAGAAAACAAAAGTTCTTCTACTGGTAAAAATGGCCGGTTGTTGTTGACACAAAGTTGAAAGTCATGTAGCTTAAGTTGGCTAACTGACCCTTCTAAAAGTGGCTAAGCTGTTAGCTACTGAACAAAGCTAGCCAGAGTCCTTTATACCATGGCCTTGCAGTTATTTAGTTACTCATAAGCAGATCTTTTCAATTTTGTTTTCCATCAGTTAAAGCCCAATCAATCATTATACACGCTAATATTACAGATGCTAATGTATCAGCTGCATAATATATCATGGCAACATTTTACCAATCCTTTAGTGTAATATCAGAGGTATGCGAATAGATCTGGTACATTTACAGATCTTTTTTCCCCTCTTTCTTGCCCTGTGTAGTCGTTCCAAATAGTCCAGCTATCATTGTCTGAATGTTAAGAAAACTTCAGCATGTTGTAACCTGGCAAAACAGACCGATGATGTTTTAGACACAGGCACACATCCAGATAAAAAAAAAGGCACAGGTTGGACAGTTAAAGTTTTTAAATGCCTCAGTCTGTGAAGCTTACTCTTGTTCTGATGCGTCGCTGCAGCTAACCGCACTGATCTGCGGCTTCGTCATCAAGCTGAGGAACTGCCTTCGAGATAACGGTTTCCTACGGCAGCTCTACACTATCGGCCTGCTGGCACAATTCGAATCCCTGCTCAGCACCTATGGTTCGATACCAAACCTCTCTGACCGTATTTCATCACTTCTTTTTGTTTTACTGGATCATCATCGACCATCTTTGTGTGTTTAGGAGAGGAGCTCTCCATGTTGGAGGATATGAGCATCGGCGTCATGGATCTGCGTAATGTCACCTTTAAGGTAACATTTTTTTTAAATATATATATATATATATATATATATATATATATATATATATATATATATATATATATATATATATATATATATATATATATCAAAAAGGGGAATACTGGGTAGTGATGTCGGCTGTGTTTGGATCCAGGTCACCCAGGCGACGGGCAGCTCCGCCCCCGACATGCTGCCCATCATCACAGGCAACAGGAACGGCTTCAACGTCCGCATCCCGCTTCCGGGCAGCATGTTTGACGCGTTGCCGCGGGAGATCCAGAGCGGGATGCTGCTGCGAGTCCAGCCGGTGCACTTCAACGTCGGCATAAACGAGCAGCAAACGTTGGCCGAGAAGTGAGTGACCTTCACACTCATGTCTGCTGAAGACTTTCAAAGGGACTAAATGAAAGCAGAGCTTGTTTTTTTTATTTTCAGGTTCGGGGACACATCCCTGCAGGAAATCATCAACGTAGAAAGCCTCTCCAGGCTGAACTCATACTACGAACAGTTCAAAGAAGTTCTTCCTGAGGACTGTGAGTTAGGCAAAGCTTTATTTTATAATCCTTGAATCTCTAAATATATGACATTTCAGAAAGAGAGCATTTCAGCACTTGAATTTTTCTTGTGCCTGAAACCCTGCTTATTTCTTGTCAGGCCTCCCAAGGTCTCGTTCTCAGACCTGTCTTCCTGAGCTGCTGAGATTTCTGGGTCAGAACGTCAACGCAAGGAAGAACAAGAACGTCGACATCCTCTGGCAGGCTGCTGAGGTAACTAAGGAATACAGTGTCCCCCCCAGCCCCCCCCTTTTTTTTCTTTTTTTTTTTTTACAAATAAAAGAACGCAGTATTTTCCAAAGTATTCAAGCCCCCTGATATTACAGATTCAACGGTATGGGTAGCCCATTTTACAGTATCGTACCACGTTTGTTGTGCCACATTTCCGGTTCAGCTTCAGTAACTTTTGTGTGGAACAAGGCCACATTTTTACCCCCCCCACCCCGTTAATTTTTTTCTACTTTTTGTTTGACTTGCAACTGAAGAACCTCAATTAACTTAGGAGTGAGTGGAGCAAAATAATCCTAATGCTACGTTCACACCTCATGCGATTGAAGCAGCTGTGAAGAAAAATATCAGCTGTGCTGCTGCAATCAACACCTTCGTTTGAGCTCGGCCTATTTTTCAATGTAGTCCTGTATCTGACTGTGACTAACTGAATGTGCTCTTTTAGTCCTCTGACGTGGGGGCTGGCTCAGAGCTCCCTGGCTTTGTCTTTCTTGGACAGGGCCGCCTGTAGAGCTGGTTGACAAGTTCCTTTATATTTTTGCTTATTTCTGTATCTCTGCTTCTGTTTACTTGAACCCCAGTCGTTCTCAGCAGATGGCCGCTCACTCTGAGCCTGGTTCTGCTGGAGGTTTCTTCCTGTTAAAAGGGAGTTTTTCCTCTCCACTGTCACTTCAAGCATGCTTAGTGTGAGGGATTGTATTCGAGTCAATGAGTCGATGCAATCAGATTGTTTTTCTTAGATAAAAACTTTGAATCATTTTGACTGTATGATCTGGTTGTGCCTTGAGATGACATGTGTTTTGAATTATCGCTATATAAATACTGAGTTGAATTGGTTTACATGCGAAGTCAATGGTTGACGCGCATCAAAAAGTCCTGCAGCATGTCTAAAGCAGCGCATCTTGACACAACTGAGCAACTGAAGCAGCGCCTCGTGAGCTTTTGAGCTCTTCACAAACAGCAGATGCTGGAGTTGGAAAATTTGCAGCTCGATGCGCCACATCAACCAATCAGAGATGCTGATCTGGGAGCTGGACACAGCACTGCTGATGCAGATTGCTATGATCACTCCACTGAAACAGTTTAGTAACGACTAAATTAACTTAAAATGTCAAAACCTGCTTGCAAAATATGTTCGCTTTTATTATTCTGCTGCCTGCAGTTTCTTCCACATACCTGATAAATGCTATCATCAACTTTCAGCTGCAAGGAACAGTAGCGGAAAATCCCCTGCTGCTGCTGGGTATTCCCAGTGACAGCGCACCGCCTGTATGTGGGGATCTGAGCGGCTCAGACAGCAAAATAATATTGTAAGGCAGGATCGTAATCTTGATGAACTGACTGCACAGATATTTTGATATTAAAACTACTTTTACCCACAGATCACAGCAAATATAGCGAAGCCACTCTCTGCCATTGAACACAAGAGTAGCAGAAGCATCAGATGCATCTGGACATACTTTATCAGACACGCTTCAGGAGCATCAAAGATGCTCTTGAGGCAAATCTGACCTTTATGTGTGCAAGCTTCAAAAATGAAGCAGCAGATGCTTTTTTTGCTGCTCAATGCACATCCGGTGTGAACGTAGCATAAAAGGGATATTAGGACTCAGTTTTTAAAGTTTAATACAAACTACCTTAGATAGATAAGAATGCACTAGACCATTTAATTCCAATAAAGGTAAGGAGCAAAATCTGAAAATCAGCTTCAATCTTACAACGATAGAAGTAAAGGAGTGTCAGAACTGGAGCAACATAGTCAATCATTTGATAGCAAGCCACTAATTATAGATAAGTAGGTTTCAGTTTTCAACAAGTCAGCCCATCTGCCATTGGTTAAAGGTGTGTAAAGCTGCAAGTCATCAGCATAAAGTAACATTGAAAGAACGTAAAAGAAGGCAGCAGATAAAGAAAATATAGCAATGGACCAATAACAGACCCTTGAGGAACCCCGTAACTTGTACTCTTTCCATTTCTGGATGATATATTTAACAGTGTTTTGTGAGATGCTTTGGAAATCTTTTTGTAGACTAATTTGTTTTTATTCATAAAAGGTGCTTTAAATCTTTAAATATATTTTTGTGATTGTAATGTGACAAAAATAAGGAAAATTCCATGGGGTATGAACACTTTTGTAAACCACTGGAGAAATAAACAGAAGAAAGGAGAAATCTGTTACAATTGATCTGTTCTCTTTTCTGTTTTAGATTTGCCGCCGGCTAAACGGTGTCCGTTTCACCAGCTGCAAGAGCGCCAAAGATCGCACGGCTATGTCGATTACACTGGAGCAGTGCCTGATCCTGCAGCATGAACACGGCATGGCGCCGCAGGTCTTCACGCAAGCGCTCGACTGCATGCGCAGGTAGGAGAACTAGTCTGTTCCGGAGAGAGATTTAGGGCAACAGAATGCAAATGTTAAGCATCATAAAAACACTGATCTAACCAGATTTGTTGGTATTTTATAAAAAAAAATGATCTGCTGGAAAGGAAACAAACTTAAGTTAATCTCTGGCAAAATATGTAAACATTTCATCTAACTGTTAGGGTTGTTTTCGTACCACCATCAGCTTCATTTTTTTCTTGTCCTACTTCATTCCTTCATTGGCAAAGAGTAAAGGCGACCAGTGATTTACTTTGTCACCAGCATTTTTGACCATTTCTTTTTGGTCTGTTTTCCTGTATAACTTTGACTTTAGCTGATAAGATTTAAGCTGCAAACCAAAAAAAACAATGTTCTGGGCAAGTACTTATAACATCTAATTAAAAAAACTGGCAATTAATTACTGCAACTTTTAAAGGAGAAGTTCGGTTTTTTACACTTTAAGCCCATTTTCTGT